AGGGAAAGATTAGCAAAAAGAGGTGGAGACTCATTTGAATCTCCACCAGCATATAAGCCAGGGTTCTGAGAGCAGGTTTTCAGTCACACTCCGGAGTCTGACTCGCTAAGTTGTATGTGTTAAAGCCTGTTGACACATTAAACTTGATTGCATCGGACTTTGCCTGTTTCCAGTGTTTCTTTAAGTATTTGCCAGCTGAGCCTAAGGTACCGAATCGACATCTGAAGACACCTGATAAGAGACAAGAGGTTCAAGGTCGGGAGCCTACAGGCCCACTTCCAGGCACCGATTTTTGACACTTCAGATGTCATTTTTGAAAGATGCAAAGTCTTTGTAGTGCCCTGGGATGCGCAAGGTCTCAAAGCGGGTGGAGGCTGTGGGGTATCTCCCCATGATGACCTCTACTGTGAGGCTTTGAGGTAGTCTCTCCCATCCAGTCCAAAATTTGACCAGATTGGTCAGTTCGGTTGGTGTTGCTATATAACACATTAAAATGGATTAAAAATGAACAAATCAAATCACTAAATTAATCACTAGTCATAAGTGAAAATGAACACATACAGCACTAACAGCTCAATAGAAGAGTTATCTAACCCTTGAGATAAGGTTTTTAAATAACAGTAATTTTTAGAATACTGAACCTGTTGAATACTATTGAGCTAAAAACAGCAACATTCACATCTAAAAATCATCCCACGTGAAGTATATATTGATTTTTTAACAGCTAAGTACCCTTTATATCAAGTTAGCATAATATTTAAAGAAAAATAATGCTTTTTAGCACTTCTGAGTATCCTCTGTTAACCTACCATTGGCAATGAACTGCAGCAGATAGCCTGCCGTGTGGCATTTTGTAGCAACAGAGCAGTCATCGTCGTCATCATCACCGTCTTCACGCGGCCAACTGATCCGCTGAAGAAGTACCTGCAGTGAAAAAATTGCATGAGAAAGGCTTGAATTACTTCATAATCTTTCAAATTTTTATATGGCATATCAGTTTTACGCTCGTAGTTCTTTGATCAAACATCACTAGTTGGTATTTTTGCAAAAAATATCAATTCTGTGTTATGTGATAGTATGAAGAAAGACATAAATAACAAGAACAAGATTGAAAATTGACAATATTTGATGCAGAGCAGGTATATACAATATTAAAAGTATTCGACAAAGGCATAAGAAAAAAAACGGCAACAAAAAACACAAGATCAGAGCAATTAAATTTACCTCAGGGCTGATATTTCCTGCTCCCTCTTTGGGAAAAACCAAGACCACTGTGTCAGGTCTTTGGGTGAGGAGTGACCACACTGGGGCCTCTTTGAGACCTCGTCTCAGTTGTTTTGTCTATCTTGTGATGCGTCCGATAACCGCCCACTCCTTTTCGGACATGTAAACGCAAGACCTCTTAGTGCGTCTCTGTTTCTTTTTTTGTTTGTATTGTATATTGTTTGCTTTTGTATTATTATTATTTATTTATTTATAGATTATTTTTCTAATTCAGTGGCTTTGCACTTGTTCTTGTTACAAATACTGTTTTTGTTTTGTTTTCTTCTGCTATTTATTTATTGATTTGTTTGCATGTTTCGAAATAAAGATTACTAAACTAAACTAAAAACCTGATAAAATTAAAGACAGGGTAGAATACAACATTCCTTCTTCTTAAATAAGCTCAGAGAGAAAGCTATTCAAATATATTTAAGAATATAATTCAATTTCAATGCATTGTTTCTATCCACTGGTGAATGAGGTAATAATGATAAAACTCCTTGCATTTGCAGTATTACAGACCACACACTCTTTTGTGTTTCCAGTGAAATAATTTGGCACATAGGAAGTGATACATTTTACATCAACCATGACATTTTTTCCCTTGGGAATGAATGAACCAGATAAAGTGTAACAATTTAATGCTGTAAGACTGATAGATAAACTTAGCATGTGCATTTTACCATTACATCATTCACATGATAAAAACAAAAGTTCATTGCCACTTTTAACTAGACAAGGGACTCAAGTCATTTGGTTCACGTTTAAAAAAAAAAACAAAAAAAAACAAAAGTCAAGTCATATTGTCTTGGGCAATTCAACTCCAGTCTCGACACGAGTGGAGGAAACGAGGAGACAAATTGATGCAATGAGAAACACCCCATCAACAGGTGATATGGCCCCATAGAGACAGACAACCATTCACACCTCTTTTTTGACCCGCCTATCTCTCTCTCAGTTCACCCCAATCTCCCTCACAGACTTACCTGTTCTCATGGTGGGAATGAAAGCTGCCACTTGCACCCTGGGCCCTGTCCCATCCCATCTTATCAAGGCCTGCCTTCCCACTTTATCACCGCTCATCACAACAATAATTAACTCCTCCCTATCTACTGGCTCAACATTCTCATACTACTTGACCTGAGTGCAGCATTCAACACCATCAACCATTCCATCCTTCTCTCCCGCCTTGAAACCACTCTTAACATTACCGGCACTGCTCTCTCCTGGCTCAATTCCTACCTCTCCGACAGACACCTGTTCATCAGCATAAACAATTGCAAATCCCCCACTGCTCCCCTCTGCCAAGGTGTTCCCCAAGGTTCAGTTCTCGGCCCCCTCCTCTTCATCCTGTACATTCTCTCCCTTGGTCACATAATCCGTCGTTATGGACTTCAGTTTCAAAGCTTTGCTGATGACATTCAGCTCCACATCTCCACCAAAGCCATCACTCCTGCCACTCACTGTACCATCACCAGCTGCATCACCGAAATAAAATCCTGGCTGCAAACCAGCTTCCTAAAACTTAACTGTGACAAATCAGAAGTCTCATCAAACCCACCCATAACTTGTCCCTCTCCATCGATGGCTCCACTGTGCTCTCCTCCCCCCATGTCCCTAACCTTGGTGTCATCTTCGACCAGACACTCTCCTTTGACCACTGATGGGAATAACGGCATTATAAATAAACGGTGTTACTCACGTGCTACTTTTTTCAGTAACGAGTAATCAAAAAGGTTACTGTTTCCCCTATTATAACGCTGTTACCGTTACTCACAATAAAATGCGCCGTTACTTGGCTTTACTTGAGTTCACTGAGGAGACTTTCACCCAAGCAAGCTCCATCTCAGTGGAGCTCTAAAGTTTTTTTTCTTTGGTGAGCGCATAGGTGAGGGGGAAGGGAGGGAGAGACAACCGCATAAGTGATGATGATTGGCTTAGGGAGAGTAAAATTTCATCATAAACCAATCAGAGGCAGAGTAGGGCGGGTATTCACAAGCACACAAGCAGGGCTGTCAGGTCCACTTAGTAGCCGCGACTTTGGGCTTGTTCTTTTGTAAAGTCACGCCTACAAATATTGGTAGTCGCGGGTTGTGTTTCTTTGAGCTTGCTTCCAAAGTGGAGTTGCTTATTTGGGCTTTCTCTCTAAATGTCACCTTTCTCTCTATATATATGTCCATCTAATCAGTTATTCAAACGCATTTTAGTACGTCGGACTGCAGGATGAGCACAGTGAATTTGAGCAGTTTGAAAATATATTATTTGAATTTTTTCAGACTTGATTTTTTTTTATTCTGAATTTGTGAACATTGAAAAACAAAAGTAAACAAAAATCAGTGTCACAAATTCAATGCAAAAAAAATTCAGTGTTATAAATTCAATTTCAACTGATGATGAAACTGTTATGTTTCCATAGTTGTGTGGTTACTTTTCCCTACAGGTTGGAGAAATGGCCTCAGAAATGACAATTGCTTCTCTGGGTCGACCCTTTGGCCTAGGAATGCTCTATGATGCTCGCAGAGATGCACTGATCCCAGGTCAGTCTTGACTTAGACTATATATTTACCTGTCACAGCTCTGCTTACAGGAACTTTGAAATCATTTCATGAAGCACAAACATAATGTTAACCTCTTTAACATTTGTACTCAATATAAAAAGAATTGGGAGATGCTTTGTAGTTCCATTTATCAGTTGATCTTTGGAAGACAGGATATTCATGTGGTATCAGTTCATATATCATCTTTCAATAAATAAAAAAAATTGAATCATTTGTGTAGGTTGTGAGGGGCGTGGCCATTGCAAAATGAAAATTTTCAGCCTTTATTATAGCGCCCCCTTCTGGCTGGATGACATCATAGGTATTTGTCAACACATTTCTCAAGAAACTCATTGACCAGTCAACTGAGTGCAAGCAGCAGTGGTGGACAGGGCGGAGGCCAGATCCAGAATTTCTCAATAAGGAAGAGGAAATAGAGCCCCCCTTTTCAGAGGTTTTTTTGCACTTTTTATTGGAGAAAACCATGTTCGACAAAATATTAATCATAGGAGAGTATTTATGTTACATACTTTAAAGGAATACTTAGACTACACAACAATCACTTGTAAATCAGTTAGTCACACTGTGTGACCTTGAATTCATGAAGAAAACCTTGTTTTTCTCACATGCCTCCATCGAAAACAGTGAACGTAGTGATTTATTAGTTAATTTGGATCAATGTTGAACAAAAGCAGAACTAATTCAAGACATCCATTTACACAATCTTACACAACTCATACAGTGTAACCCAGATTTAATTTATCCAGTTTTGTGCTCGAGACTTAACAAATAGGACTTCTAGCTAAAATAACTGAACTGATCTGTGCTCTCTTCAAAGCCTGACTCTAAAACCAAGGTTTTCTTTGGAGTGTTTATCCAGTCCTGAACACACGACTGGATAAGTGAGGTTGGGATTATTCTGCACGAGTTGTGGGACAGTTTGTAACCAGATATTTTGATATTAGTTTTGTTGATGTTGATGTTCCCTCAATCAATCAACAAATCAATATGTTTGCTGTTTTCTGTGGAGGCTTGTGAGAAAAACTAAGTTTTCTTCACAAATTCAAGGTCACACAGCACAACTAAGTGATTTACAAATGTTAATTTTGTGGGTGAAGTATTCCTTTAAAATGTATGTATGTGGAGGGGAAGTATTTTTCTGATTTTAATGGATGACTGATATTTTCCACTTTCTACAGGTATGACATTGTGGGATAAGAAAACTCTACAAGAGAACACAGTTGAAAATTCCAACCATAGCAGTGCATTTAATATTTCTGCATCTGACTCCATTCACAACAAGTCCTCTCTGCTGGATGTTAGCGCTTCTCTGAAGCTCAGTTTCTGCAGTGGACTGATTGAAGTCGGCGGATCTGCCAAGTATCTGAATGATGAGAAGAAATTCAAGAATCAGAGCAGAGTGACGTGTCAGTACAAAGCCACCACCAACTTCAAAGAGTTGTCAATGATTAACATCATAACCATGGACACCAAACAGATAGATGTCATTAAGAAGAGCGGCGCAACACATGTGGTCATTGGGATCCTGTACGGGGCAAATGCTTTCTTTGTGTTTGACAGTGAGAAGTTAGAAGCCAACAAGGTTCAGAGCGTCCAGGGCAGCATGGAAGCTGTGATAAAGAAGATCCCCACATTTAGTATTGAGGGAAAAGCTGAAATAAATCTGAATGATGAAGAAAAAGACCTGACCAACAAATTCTCCTGCAAATTCTTCGGAGACTTCATTCTGAAAAACAACCCTGCGACATTTGAAGAGGCGGTGAAGGTCTACGTTCAACTTCCACAGCTACTGGGAGAAAAAGGAGAGAATGCTGTTCCACTGAAGGTCTGGCTGATGCCACTGAAGAATCTGGACACTGAAGCTGCTGAGTTGTCAAGAGAGATCAGCAACGCACTAGTGGAGAGGGTGCAGGATGCTCTGGAAGATTTAAGCGAAACAGGAATCAGATGCAATGATTCTCTGGAAGACAGAGTGGTAGAAAATTTCCCAGTCATTCGAGAAGAATTAAGCCATTTCCAAAAATTGTGCAGTCACTTTGCAACTAACCTCCGACAGAGCTTGGCGAAGAAACTTCCCTCCATCCGTGATGGTGAAGCAGATGAGAGCTCAGTAGAAGAACTCTTTGAAGACCGAGACAAGTCGCCATTCAGTCGTGAAAAACTGAGCAAGTGGCTGGATGACAAAGAGAGAGAAATCAACGTTATCAGATCCTGTGTAGATATCATGGAGGGAATAAAGATCGTCCCAAATCAGTCAGAGCTGGACAGAGAGGTTCTTGCTCCAGGTGTAGAGAATGCTCTGTGCTTTGTTTTCACCTCCATGGAAAGAGGTGATACCTACCTGGATCTGATGGCCACCTACTTAAAGTTACCTACATCAGGAAGTACCAATGAAGAGCCATGGTACTTCTCAGACGAGATTTACAGCAACATGAGAAAAAAAGCCAAAGCTTTGCATGGCTTTGCCAAAGCACAGAGGAACAACAACAGGTTGCGTATTCTCATAGCAACCATAGCAAATGAGAAATACAAAGGGGCAACCATCTATCATTACAAGGAGGGCAATCTGGCCAGTGAAGACTTTACAAAGCCTGACCCCCCTGATGTGGAGACCATCACTGACAGAGAAGATCTGATCTGGTGTAAGTCTTTTTTCCATGCTTTTATTTTAAGGCCTTAAATATGCTGTACTTATAACTGTCTTCCAGAAACCTGTTTGACCTTCAGGGTGACTACATTTAATTTGGTCTCTCCTTCAGATGCCACTGATCTCACCCTGGACCCAAACACTGCAAACGGCTACCTCACTCTGTCTGAGGGAGACAAGAAGGCAACATGTGGAGAACAGCAGTCATACCCTGATCACCCAGAGAGGTTCGATACACATCCTCAGGTGCTGTGCAAAGAGGGCTTAACTGGCCGCCATTACTGGGAGGTAGAGTGGAGTACTGGCTCCATAGAATCTGTTTATGTTGCTGTTGCATACAAGGGAACTGAAAGAAAAGGGGAAAGTTCAGAGTTTGGATTTAATACCATGTCGTGGGCTGTTGGCCAGCACCACGATTCATCTTATCACCTTGTGAGGGCATATCATAATGGTAAGCAGTGGGAAACTGCTTTTCCCTCTGATGGCTGTGACAAAGTCGGGGTGTATCTGGACTGGCCTGCTGGCACTCTGTCCTACTACAGAGTCTCATCTAACACTCTGCGTCACCTCTACACCTTTCGCACCAAATTCACTGAGCCTGTTTACCCAGGCCTTTTAGGTGTAGGTCTGTTAGTCTATGCATACCTGTGTCCAGTTCAGTTGAAGCCATGACAAACACTTGTTAGATTGCTGGTCTGTCAGAAGGGACACAGGTTCATATTCAAAGTTTAAGAAGCAACCTAACATCCTATTTTAGCCTATACATCCCTCAAAAATAAAAAAAATGCATTCAAACCCAGAGAGACCAGGAAAATCGATGATGTCATAAAGTGACTTTAAACATCATTTTCTATTTTTCAGTTCATGTTGATTCGATGCACAGCCTTCTTCTCAAACAGCTCCGTGCTTCACTTTCAGTTTTGCTTGGTACATCACACAATATGTTTTAACTGTTTTCATTTCTATTGTAATTCCTGATACTTAAAGATACAGAGCTTATATTGAATCACAGTTACTTTGTGAACACAAATATGTTGACGTAGAAACTCACAGCTCATGTAAAAGGAAAATGATTGACTTGTTTTGTTGAATTTATCATGTTGATTATGTTAGGACATAAGGTAGATAACACACCTGTTCTTTGATTTAGGATTTGTTCCTTTTCTTCTTAATGCATAATATTTAAAGGGTTATCTTTTCTGGTTTGTGTTTTTCTGAGTCTTTACTTTAACCCTGACCTCAGGTTCAGTTTAAGACTTTACTGATTGATGAGAGAGTTGCTGTTAACTCCATTTTGTTAGATGATAAGTACATTGCTGGTGTTTTTAAAGCTGTAGAAATCTGATTTGTCACGTGTTAGTTCATGTTGACTCAATGCACAGCCTTCTTCTTAGACTGTTTTGTTGCTTCACAGCTTCACAATCAGTTTAAACTTTAGTTGCTTGGTAGGTCACAGATATTTTTTGTTGTAACTTTATAATCTAACTCTTGGCACATAGATAGAGCCTTTATTGATACTCAGTTGCTTTGTCTCTTGAAATATAAACTCATAGCTAGTGTGTAAAAATTGCAGATCTTGTTTTGTTGGAGAGAGTCTCTGTTAACATCATTTAGTTGCAAACATTTCTGATGTGATGTCAGATTCCTGTAACACTGCAACACCTGTTGGATATGTTCACTGTCTTCTGAAGCAGAATATTCAATAAAGTGGAGACCTGACTTCACCACTGTGTGCTACTTTGTGTTTTCCTGCAGATTACAAAAGGTGACTTTACCAAAGGTTGTAAGCTTCATCATTTCTGACACATCAGCATCTTTTAATGCAAAGAACTCAACGATAGAACATGAACCTTTAGAGAACATTATATAACCTTCCGTCTTCACAGAATCATAAGGACACTGTGTTCCACTCTGAACATTGACGCTAGTTAGCCCAGCTTGCTAATGTTAGCACTGATTCTCACTAAGTGCTTTTTGTTCATGTTATCTCAACACCAGCTGAGTCAACGGCATCTTCTGAACACACAATGTTGTGTTCTTCACACATTATGCATGTTTCCCATGGGATCAGATGCCACACAGGACAAACTTTTGTCAGACGTTCTTGTAGCTTTAATTTCATTGTTAACAAAATTACAGCAGGTCAAAAGTCCTTTTAGAGAACAGCTCATGCACTTTTCACAGTTTGTTGCAGTTTTTAAAACCAAAATCATCAAAAACAATCAATCAAATCAATCAAAAAATCATGAAAAAGGATCAAGACCTTTCAAAGTGTATTACATCAGACAGATAATCATTCATTTAAGTCCAAATCTCTGCTGGTCTCAATCTTCTCTGGCAATTCTGTCGCCCCCTTTTGGTCAGTT